CACTGTCACTAAAATCCCCCCCCCACCGAAAAAGTGCTTTTTGGAATAAAAATTTTATGGGGGAGGGCAGAGGATAGACAGGTATCCAGTATCATAACTGCCAGTAAATAATGTGGGGTAGTGAGGAGGGGGAGGGAATGCTGGGCCGGTATGGTTTTGTTTGGAGATGACCTCTTGGATAAGGTGACATTAATCAGAGACCCGAAGAGGAGGAAGAAGCAAGCCACACGGACATCAAGCTTTGAAGGTTCCAAGCAGTGGAAAGTGTGTTTTTTCACGACAACTGGGGAGGGGGGGGTGCGAGCACTGCTGACGAACAGATCCAGTTAGGAGCCTCATGAGAAGGCAGCTGTTCTGTGGTGGGACCCAACCTAGGTGATTGGCCAGCCGGGTTTCTGACCTGACTATAGCTTTAGCTTTACAGGCTGCATGAGACAGGCCATTATTTCAACTCCTGAAGTTATGTTTCGGGAATTACCAAGAGTTGGAATTCTAGGGAGACCCTGAAAATCTTAACAGAATTCTCAAACAATTTAGTTTACAGTAGTGGATCTCAACCTTCACGGTGTATCAGAGTCACCTTGTAACCTGTGAAAGTGACAGGTGCCCACATCCTACCCTAGAGATTCGATTAAGGGTGGGATAAGGGCCTTGAATTTTTTTGTTTTTGTTTTCCACGTGCTTCCAGGGATTCTGATATGCACCAGAGGAGATAGAAATCCCCCGGTTTTGGAGAGGGTTTCTCACATCTAAGTAAATTTCCTACACCCGAAAACAAAATGATGTAATGTTTCCTAGGATTATTGATTTTCAGTAAGGTTCCTTCACAGAAGATTCCAGCAAAGGTGTGCATATCCCTACAGCAAGTCAGGGAAGAAGAGGGGATTTACCCCAGTAGGTAGCTCTCCTATTCGTGATTTTCTCATTAATTCACCTGTCACTGTCCCACAAAGTGAGTCTGAAGATTGCTGTGTTTACCTGACACCATTGGTATTAGGATTTAGATAAAAAAATGTCCACCCAAAGTGTATCTGGGAGGTGACTGGGGTGCTCACTTAGCAGTGGTTTTATCTATCGATGAGTTCAGTAGCTGGATGTGCAGCTGGGAGATGGGGCCTGCCCCAGAAGGGTTGTTCTCATCCCTCTCCTGCTGCCTGGCTGCCATGAGCTGAGCACCTTTCCTCCGCCGTGCCCTTCCATCATACCATTTCTGCCTTGGATCCAGCTAACTGTGGGCTGAGTCCTCAGAAACAACAGGGAAGATAAATGTCTCCCTTGAGTTGCAGGCTTGGAGCAATTTGTTCCAGCAAAGGTAAAGTTATGAGTCAGTTAGGCTGGATCCAATTTTAAACAGGCTATTTGATTAGATACAACAGAAAGATGATGATGATTTATCATCTCTGACCTGACACATTTACATTTTTCAACAGTGTGAATAGTGATTCTGACAACTCTCCAGGGCTTGACAAATGAACGTAACTGGGTTTTAGAACTGAAAAAGAATCTGGTGGTCTCCTTTTCATTGCCACCACTTCCTGTTATATTTTCTCCCTTGTGGGCTTAAAATTCCTTTAAATTATATAATTTAAAAACTTAAAAACATGGAGTTTCTCTTTTAGAATGGCTCACTTGCATACCTGAGCCTCTTAATGAGCCCCTGCCTGCCCGCTGCCGCCATCTTGCCTTGGCAAAAACAAAGACATTTAATGATAGTTACTTTGGGTGTCTTTCCATGGTGGTGGGGGAGCAGGGGGGGCGGGTTCAGTTTTCTCCTATCTTGAAATTCTACTTATGGACTCTCTTTGAGGACCTTTAATTGTTTATCACAGGCTTAGGATGTTGAATTTCCACTCTGTTACTCATAACATGCCGAGGGAGGTTTATTAGTACAGCCATATGGAAATTATTTTGGCCAGAAAAGGTAGCTTGAGCAAACATCCAGATGTTTTATGTTTTTCCTAAATGAAATCAATCTGGATGGCTGATACTATATAACATGGTCCGTGATATACACTCAGGCTGGAATCTGTCTCCCAAATTTAAAACATGCTCAGGTTTAAACAGAAGAAGCAAGGCAGGAAATTCCATCCTGTTCCCATCTTTGACATTTAGGAAAGGGCAGTGGGTTGACTCATTCACAGCACAGTGTCCATTCTAGTGAAAAGCTGTAGACACGCATGGTCGTGCAGACCACTGCAGTGTGCGACAAGTGGCAGAGCCAGAGTTCAGCAACAAAAGCTAACCCGGGCAGACCAGAGCTACGTCTTTTATACGTGGCCAAGCCAAAGGCTGTATTTCCTGGCACAAAGTAAAACTGTTTTATAAAGTTATGGAAAAATAAAGTCTGATTAGGAGCATTTGGTTAGGTCTTGAATGTAAGTTTTTCTGTACCTTGAAACACAGTTTTTCTCTTTTTTTATCCTTTTCAGTTTTATGCCGGAGAACTAACAATATGTTTCCTTTCCCTACCTTTGTCGCCCCTTTCAAAAATCAAAATAAGAAATGATTGTAGGAGTATCTAGGTCTAAATAATATGACATTAAGGTATCTAAAAGGTCACAGAAGCTCAGTTACTATTTCTTGTACTTACATTGTTAGGACAAGAGAAATGCATGTGGAGAAGAGAAGCACCAGATTTATCTCGTTCAAAATACAGAACTGTACACTAGACCTGCATGTTCCCAGGTAGTCTATAATCTACTCTGAGCTGAAATCCTGAGGTTCATGTTGGGCCCTCTCATGGCTCTGAACCTTCAGGGGCTGCCTGATTCTTTACTGCACCACCCATCGCTTATTTTATTCAGAGCCACTTTTCAGGAGACTGTCAGCTTCCTGAAGCCAAAGCCCTTGCTGGTGCCTGGCATATGAAGAATACTCAAAGATCCACTCAGGCAAGTGGAGGAGGTGGGCGGAGGGTTAGGTGCAAGCTCCCTGGCCTGGCAAAGCTGATACGGCCCCACCTTCGTGACCAGCCTTTCTATTGTACCGCTACAAGTTTCACCTCATGGTTTATCTACAAGCTCTTCCTAGGAAGAGACAGCAGCTTCGGCATCTCAGAACGTCTCTGGTGCTGAGTACACAGCAGACACCGATTCGGTGCTTGTCCATTCACATCAGGTACTGCTCTAAGTGCACTAGCACTGAGACCACCACCGTTCCCAGAACAGGAAAACCCCTGCCCTCGTGTTTATATTCTGCTTGCTGAGGAATAAACAAAATAAATATAATGCATCAAAAGCACTAGGAAGATAGGAGGTGTGTGTGTGTGGGAGAAAGAGATTGTGCGTGTGAGAGTGAGAGTGTGTGCAAGAACATATATTATCAAGGAGAATACTTAAGGGGAAAGTGTTCCAAGCAGAGGAAACTGCACAGGGCAGAGGCCCTGGTGTGGAAATGGACCTGGCTGTCGGAAACGCGCGTGGATCAACGAAGTCAGTGTGTCCAGAGCAGAACAGGCAAGGGGGAGAGCAGTTAAGAGCAGGAAAGTCAAAGGGGATGTGGGAAGTCCGATCATCGAGGATCACACAGGCCACCATAAGTACTTTGGTTTGCACCAGAGAAGAAGGTCACTGGATGGTCCTGAACAGAGGAGAGATGGCCTCCAGCTCACCGTTCAGTAGTCCTTCAGCCTGCCGACTGGACAGCAGATCCTAAAGCAAGGAGACAAGGCAGGAGCTACTGCAGTGATCCAGGGAAAGGGAAACAGTGTCTCAGACCAAAGGACAACCAAGAGGTATGAGAAGTGGTTACGTTGTCGATACGCTTTGAAGATAAAGCATTCGCATGTAAGATGTAAGAAAAGACAGGGAAAACTGAGCCGAGGCTGCAGTTTGGGGACTGAAGGATGAAGACGCTGTCATTGGAGATGGGGGTCATGGGACGTCTTGGGGGAAGTTTAGAGGTTAAGTCTGAGAAGTTCAGTAGACATCTAGAGTGATATTAAATAGACAGTTGGGTGTATACGCCTGGAATTTAAGCAGAGACCAGCAAAGGAATGGTATTTAAAAATCTCATAGAAAAGGAGTAAATGTAGATGGAAGAGAGAAAAAGCCAAAGGGCAGAAGCTAGAAAAGCATGGTTCCAGAAACCAAGTAAATAACGTATTTTGTCATCTGCTGCTCATGGAAAAGTAGGGTAAAGACCAAGAAATCACCCCCGGATTTAGCAGTGCGAAGGCCACTGGTGATCTTGACTAGCTCTGACGGAGTAGCGTGGGTACAAGTGAACCGGAGTAGGCATGAGTGAACAAAAACAAATACAATATATGCAACTCACAGTTGAGAGCTGGAGGGGAACGTAGAGTCAGATGTGAGGAAAAGGAGCTGCATTTGGTTCGCCGATGCGATTTCCATTAGAATAGGGACTGCGGGTAAAGACAGGGACGCTTTGGGGGTCGGGCCACCGCTACAAACAACACGAGGGAGGCAGAAGAATGCCTCGGAGCACGCACTAAGGAGGAGAAGGTCTCAAAGTCCTTTGGAAGAGTGGGAAAGTGTGTGGAGAGGGATGTAGGGTTAGTTATGGTGTTGGACAGGAATAAGCAGCAGCCAGTGGACTGAGAGTTGAGGGTGGTACTGGTGGGTTTGTGGCCATGTTGAACTGACAGACGAACAACACGAGGGAGGCAGAAGAATGCCTCGGAGCACGCACTAAGGAGGAGAAGGTCTCAAAGTCCTTTGGAAGAGTGGGAAAGTGTGTGGAGAGGGATGTAGGGTTAGTTATGGTGTTGGACAGGAATAAGCAGCAGCCAGTGGACTGAGAGTTGAGGGTGGTACTGGTGGGTTTGTGGCCATGTTGAACTGACAGACGCAGATGCAGGACTCGAGGGCTGAGGGTGTGCAAAGCCAATGTGACAAATAGTCAATGAATCAGACCGCACAAATCCAGTCCTGTTACTACACAGAAGCCAGAGGGTGATTTTTGTCTCGAGATCCCAGGCCCGTCCCCAGAGTTCTGCCATCTCCCAGAAGAAAATGTGTAAATTATTCTGAGATACTCACCGTCCTTCAAATCTGTGTTTTAAAAAATCGAACAATGCTTTTTGCATCATATCTGTGACCTGTAATTGAGCAAGCAATAATGTTAAAATATTACTGATGACGATAAAACACTATGATAAACCAATTTCACCACTTTTCAGGACACTTAAAAAACCGAGCTTTGTGCATGGAAAAAGTAGCGCATGAAGTTACCACATGTTCATGTGCGTTCCAATGAAGTGACAACTAAAAAAGCAAAAATCTTTGAGCTTACAATGTTGTAGAGACAAAGAATTACACTGCAGTTGCTTCGAGCCACTCTTCCTTTTGATACTACTTCCTGGGCCAAGCAAACTGTCACAAGCAGAAATCTCTAAGCAACAGCCAAAGCACTAAGCAGTGGGTACCCAGCTTGAAAACCCAACATGCTTTGCTGCCACGACCTCCATAAATTCAGGAGTGACGAGTGGCAGGCGGGTGACAGTTGCCGCAGAGAGCAGCTACTCACCTCGTACCCCTTCAGCGAGGGGCCCACGAGGACCACAGGCCGCATGGAAGGTACCACATCATAAGGAGGGGTGTGCTCTGTCTGCAGAGAGAGGAGACCCTGTCAGACACTTCCCAGGCAAGGGGCACTGGAGCTGTCTCATATACTACAAGATGCCCTTTCTCAACTCTGTCACATGAGGCCCAGCCAACCCAATCAAGGACTGTGGATTTATTTTCAAGTTACTGAATGGTTTGTAGTTTTCTTGGTCTTCTCAAGAAACACTACCTTCCAAGTTAATGCTGAAAGCAGGAGGGGCTGCTTTGGAACAAAAACAAATTGGTAAAACAAACGGAAACATGCTTCGTGCAGAATGGGTGCTCTAGGCTTGACCAGAGGTTAATACTGCTTCTCAGGCGCATGTGGGTTTTCTGGAGAGTTGAGATGCTCAGCCCTGGCATGGTTAATTATGGAAGGAAGAGAGATTCTATTACCTCTGCATGTTAGATGTTTGTCTTACCTGCGTGAAACCTAGTTTCAAAACACTGGGACTCTCACAACCAAATACCTGAGAATTGTATTTTATTGTGAGAGTTTACATTGGTTTGCATGCTTATTCCAGTGTTCATGTTCACCGTTCAGAGCTTTGGTGATTAATGCTTTTTGATTTCTGGTTTCTGTATGTTGGCATTTAAAAACTGAAAATGAAGAGGGCATGTTTTTAGAGGAAAAGGTGTTTAATGTATAACAGTTAATCATCCTGCATGGCCGCAGAAGGTTCGTTATAGACTTGCATATCTGATATGCTGTCAAAAATAGTTGAGGTAGTGTTTCTCTTACATAACTAATTCATGTCTTTCTCCAGTAATTCCTTTCTTTTTTGGAGGAGCAGGGAGAGGAGCTGAATTTTGTTGCTATTTATAAAACCATTACCACTTTTTAGCTTACTTGCTTCAGATAAAATTTTCCCCCCAAATTGGGCAATACCTAATCTGTTTGATTATATTAAAACTATTTCAATAATAATATTTTAAATGCAGAAGAGTGACAGGAATGGCATTAGACAGATATATGCAAATCATTTGCTTATTCTTACAATCTCTAATTCTTTCTGCATTAAGGAATATCAGAAATACTTTAAGAATCACATGCACCAAAAAAAAAAATACCCTTTAAACTACTTAAGGAATGTGATAAATGGATGTTTTTTAATCAGCCTGTCCTCGAAAGACATTTTATTTTTAAAATTGCCTATTCCCAACTTTCTGGCTTCATTAGCGTTTAAGTTGCTTATAGGAGGAATTTTAAAAAGCAGTTCAAATTCAAAAGCTTCAGTCTGAGATGTCACCAACAGTTGCAAATGATATGATCAAAGGGGAGAAAAATAACACCGTAACTGTGCCGTCACATTTCACTGTTTAAAATTTTACTTAGTGCTCGAAGTGAATTTTATTAAACACAATAAAGGGAGAGTACATTTTTGAACAAAAAAATTAAAGGACAAACATAATACAGAGACAGCACGAATACCACACAAGCACCACTCTAAAAGCAACCTAAAACACAGAAAACAGTCTTATTGAAACTTAGGTGGTTTTTCCTTTCTGAATTCTAGCTGGAATTTTTTTTTTTTTTTTTGTACCAGGGATCGAACTCGGGACCTTCCACTTGCGAGGCAGGTGGCAGAACCACTGAGCTAAATCCCTGGCCCTTCTTTCTGAATTCTGCATTGAAGTTTACCACGTAATCAACAACGTAAGAAGAATGGATACCAGTGCCGAAGGCATCATAAGCATATTTATTCAATTATTACATTTTATACCACCTGTGATCATACTGAAAATATTTAGAAGCCAAGTCCTTATAACTATGCAGTATAAGAACACCTTTTCCACCATTATAGTCAGGAACATAAATTGCATGCATTGTAGTAACAGCTACCAGGAAATTTTATTTCCAGTCTTTGAATCTTATGTGGCCCGTTATTTGATAGGTCTTTAGTTCCTTTTGCCTGTGGCTGTCAACTAGCAAGGGGTTACCCATGCTGGTAATCAGTCAGATTCTTAATCAGGGTAACTACAGAAATTACCTTATTTGATGGAATATTTGGTGATTTGTGCCCTATGGATCATGACATTATTTTTCATCTGCCCTTTCCTGATAACTATTTTGTTTGAATTATCTAGTGGAAAAATTGTAACAGACCTGCTAAAGGTTTTGAAATTTAAGGGTAAGCAAGCTTCCAAATAATATTTGATTAACACAGTTTTAGTGGATGTTTCTGCTCTGTCAAGTCCGGAGTGACTTGGCAATGGTGATTTTCTAAACTGTGGACACACTGCTTATCACTTAGCTGTAAACTTCAGCTAAAGTAAAGAGGGGACAGGGCCAGACAGACGGGCCCACTGTCGGGGATGAACATTAACTTGGGGCTTTCTGCGGTAACACAAAAATCCAGGTGTTTTAAATTTTGCCTAGAGTTCTGAGGACTTTTCTTCTTAAAGTAACTGCTATTTGTTTGAAGAACAAACAAACAAAAAAACCAAAACTTTTAAGATTAGCATTCAGTATCTGACACTTTATTGAAGTCCTTAGATTTCCCCTAATGGAGAAAAGTGCTTGTTTGCAGGGGAGAAGAGTTTAGGATGTGCACACTTTGGGACAGAGAGTTGACCCAACGTTTTATGTGTGTGTCAGAATATACCCATCAGCGTGCCAGACTGGGAGGCATTAGAAAGTCTGCCTCTAAGAGACAGCATCGTAGCTGTGCAAAGTCATAAAGGAAAGGAATAAAAATGGAGAAAAACTGGGGAGGGTGTTTCTTTAAAAAATAATGCTTTGGAGCTACAAAACATGTGAAGCGGAAACAGACCGTGTAGGGCAAAGAGAGCTCAGGGATTTCCTGCAGTTTCCAGTCAGGGGACAAGAAGGGTCAGTGTGCAGCATCCTGGTTGGCCAATGACAAAGGCTCTACCCTTGGCCACCAGCCCCATTGTCCAACAGGTGAGATGCTGAGGTCGGACTGATGGAGAAGGCAAGAACATCGGGAGAGTATTCATATACAACAGTAGGAAAAACTCACAGTAAACCGCCAAAACAAGCCTGCAGTTTTCCACTGGTCTTGCTCATCTGCAGATTTTGCACCTAGTGGATTAGAAGTTTAAATACTGACTAAAAATTGAATAGTCTTTTTTTTTTTTTTTTTAGTACAAGCTATGTATCTGGATATCATAAATCAGAATCTAATAGCTGTTTTAATATGCTTGATTATAAATTAAATTTCTGGAAAAAAGAAAGACAGAATAAGCATGCACAATTGAGGTGCATTATATGGCATTATCGGTGTTGGAATCTTTGAATGTTAAACAAAGTCCCTTCCCAGTAGATAGTATTCCATCAAAAAGGATAAGAACTGTAATGGTGTTTTAGTAGGTCGCTCACTGAATTTAGTTGCTTTGAAATGCATGGATTCAATTGATAGGTTCTTTTCTTAGGACAGAAATGACTGTATTTCGTAAAACTGGGAGTTAATGCTAATGATGCCAGTGGCAGGATAAACACAGCTTATGTCAATGTAAACTTACCGATTTCTGCTTCTGCTTAGCTACAGCAGCATGGAAAAGAAACAAAGAATAACAGAGCATGCATGTTATTGGCTTGTCAAAGGACACAGACAGTCAACAGGACCAGAAATATGACGCAGTGCAGCTGAGCGGGTGGACAACGGGAGCCGGAAGTGCATGTTACCTTCTTAAAGAAGGGCATTCTTTTCTCTTTGGAGTGGGGTGACGTTACACTGTTTGCAGTGGGTTTAGGGGAGCGGTGGTTTGCTGGAATATCATTTTCTTCTGCATCTAAGCCAGTAGCATCTATGTCTATAGCTATGTACAGACAAACAATTCAAAAATCATCAAGTGGACAGGAGAGGAAAAACAGGTTATAAAGAAAATAAAACCAAAGCAAATAAACTAACCACTGTAAAAGATGTATCATGAATGTTTTAACACAGTACACACAAAAGTAAAAATCTAAAGATACAACGCGTTGAGAATGCAGTGTGATCATAATCTAGCAAAGGTGAAAGATACCTGCTCCATTTGTTTGCTTGAGCAAGTCAATTTCATGTAAGTTTTCCTATTATTAGAGCATTTTTAATTTGCAGTTTCAAACATGCTATTCTCCATGCCAACTGTAGAGAAAGTACCATACATTACATTTCACTTCACTTAGTACAGTACATAAACCCAGCTTTTAGACAAGAAGCCACTGGAAACTCAACACAATATGCCTTAGATTTCTCATCTTTCTTGACTTTGTGTGAAAATAAGGGCAATGCGAAAAGTTCAATAAAAATGCACACAGATGTCTGTGGGAAGGAGGGCAGAGAAAATCCTCAGGTCCAGGTAACACAAAGGAACCGTACCTGAGGTGATGATGCAGGGGAGGGATTCCTGGGTTTCCTGGACAGAGTTAGACTGATTTCAGGACATGTGTTAACCCTCAGACAGACCTCAGCATACACTAATTGAAAAACACAGGCTCTAATGGAATCAACCTAATAAAACCACAGACGACTTCTGATGGTTGATGAAGCAACTAGATGTTGTGTGAGGCAGAGAAAAAGGGCATAAAAACCAAACGGAATATGCCACTGGTTTCCTCATCTGTAAGATGAAGATTTCGGGTTTGTTACTTGATATGCTTTCACTTTTGAAATCTTTCAACCTGAAAATACGGCTTTTAAACAGTGGTAAAGGAAGCTGGGCACTCCCAGGGCTTGGGAAAGCCGAGTTGGGGGCGTGGCCCCAGCCTGGGCAACTTAGGGACCGAAAGGGAGCCTGTGTCAATATGAACAAAGGGCTAGGGATGTAGCTCAGGGCAAAGATGCTGGGTTCAGTCTCCAGTACCAGGAAAAGAAAACAAAGGTCAATGACAGAAACGTGCATAATCTCATTTCGAAGTTTATGGAAACATTTCCACATGCAATCAGTGCAGAATTTTCTGCACTGTAAAATCCAAGCTGGAACTACTTTACAGATGAACTTCAACCCTTTCACTCTGAAGCCTTAAAGGGTGAACCTGTCCAGTGTAATGGACTCATTCTTGGCAAAAACTCAACAGCCCTGGGACTCAGAATCTAGCTCCCCTGCCATAGAGGTCCGTACTTGCCCAGGCATCGTGCTGCCCTCAGGGTGAGAGCCTTTCTCACCCTGAGTGCTCTCTTCCACTTCCTTGGGCACCCATGACAGGGTCCAGACTTAGGATGCTGTCGTAGAGTTGGGCTTGCTAGATAATTACTTTCTGTTTGAGATTTGGTCAAGAGCAAAAGAAACTTCACTCACCCTAGAGAAGCATTATTTACATTCTCGCGCTGTACCACAAGCCCCAGGACCACCAGATCGAAGGACCACACTACCACTCGGAATGGCGGCGTGGCACTGTGCTGCAGCTCCCGTCTCCTGTGACACACACGCTGAGCTGGTGCTCACCATGGCCCCTCTAACCTTCGCCGAGGAGGAGGAGATCATCCTCTGGCAGGTTATCACATTGTTTTTTCAGTTTCGCAGTTACTAGGGATATTAGATGACTCAGTCTTTCGAATACTAGGCTCTCGTACCTGATTGTTCTTTTCCCTTTGATTAGGTCGGAAAACTGTGATGGAGCGAATGCCTGGCACTGTAATGCACAGCCTTGCAAATATCAGCCTGGGTTTGCATGGTATCCAAGATGAGTGAGGGTAATAATGGACTGAGCGAACTGAGGGTGTTGGGCTAGGCTTCCCTCGTGAATGTGTCTTCTCTTTGCCTCCCCTGTACATACTGATGAGCTGAAAGGTCGTGTGGTGTGCAGAGTAAGCATGACAAAGGGAGCCCAGGGATTTTATTCCACACTACAGCGAACCCTTCACTCCTGTAGGAAGGCTGCCATATGGGCCTTATGACATTAGCCTGGGAAGTTGGGAAGAAACTCTCGAGGCATGGTTTTCTCCCAATCTTAACAAGATTAGCACCTTACTGGACAGGAAGGAGAGAACCCGGGCCATTTCATTGTTCTTGAAACAGGACTTACCCATTAGTAAGTATTTCCCTCCTGATGGTAAGTTCCTGCATATTCTTATCTTTTTCATTCTCATTGGACTTATAAAGGTCACAATTCAAGGGACAGTGCCCATCAGGCGTGGCAGCATATGGCTGTAATCCCAGCATTCTGGGGAGGCTGAGGCAGGAGGATCATGTGTGAGTCCAGCCTGGGAAACTTAATGTGTCCCTGTCTCAAAGTAAAAATGGAAAAAGGGCTTGAGGTGTAGCCCAGAGCACAGGCCCTGGGTTCAGTACCCGGTGTCACCAAAGGGGTGGACACAATAACCACCAAAGGCCTTTCTCAAATTGAGGCCACCCAGCTGGATGGTGGCCAGGGCAGATAGGACCCTGGAATGGTGAAGTCTGTAAATTTTCAAGCCTTTTTCAGCATTTGTTTGGTTCAGACAATTCTCCTTCTACTGAGAGATACTACCTTTTTAAGTTTCACACTTACACTTCCACACCTCAGCAAACATTAGCATTTACCTGGGAAAAAGAACTCTTACATATTTGAAAATAGTTTTTCTGTCCCTTACTAGCATCCACCTGTCTGTCTCTCTTTTGGAAATATTTTTTGAGATTGAAACTTTAGTTTTAATCTGAGCGCTTGGGTCCAGTGGAGCCAAGTTCAGGGGTGTGCATGGGTGTGGGGTACATGTCCTGCAACTGGACGGAAAGTGGAAATATTTCCTTTCCCAGATCCTTGAGAACATCCAACTATATTTTCTTCTCACCTTATACTCCCATTCCTTGGTCTAGCAGTGGGTGAGGGGTATGACGGAGAGTGCATCTGGGAAACCAAAGGGGAAAATTACAACTGCCGACCAGTGCCCACTCCCTGAAGTGAAGTGGACGGACTGTGCTCTCAGTTTTCTCATTTTCCTTTAGATCAGCTGAGTTATTCAATGAAAATTATCCGAGACAAGGTGTTTATGCATTTTTCAGGTGATTATATCTTCAGACAGTCCCAAGTGTTTCCTACTCTTGGTTTTCAGAGAGCTTATTTTAAATTCTGTATCTGCATAAAACTTTTTTTACTAACTTCTCATGGAACTTTATTATTTTTTTTCCCCAGTACTGGGGATCGAACTTAGGGCCTTGCGCTTGTGAGGCAGGCACGGCGCCACTGAGCTAAATCCGGAGCCCTTCACGGAACTTTATTTTTACCAAAGTGAAATATGACTACAAATTGAACTGTCATTTTACATACACACTGATTCCATCTCCAAAATGCATGCAGCTCTTTGGATTATGCTGCTAATCCAATTGAAAGGCTACAGTGGTCCTCAGAGGGGGAGTTTCTCAAATGTGATGTGCCCGATTTCCATTTTAGGAGCTAAGTAACATCCCTCGCGAGTCCAGGACATAGACTTTCAGGTACGCAGGAGATGTGTAAAGTTCATACAGGGATCCCTACAGCTTTCCACATTTGAGCAGAGCAGGACTAGGTGTCCGCCCCTGTACGTTCATGGAATTGCTACTCCAGGACGACCCAGGGAAGATGTGAGCCTCAGGTAACTTCTACGGGGCTTCGATTTTCACTTTAAGAGCGCTGTTTTATTAACTCTGGGCGGCTTACAACTGCTACGAGTCACAAGGTTACAGTTTTTGAGATCCAGATTCAACCTAAATCAATTTATTTCTTACTGTGCTCAGATGTTGTTCACTTAAAAAAATTCTAGAGTGTTTTGCTAAGTCTGCTACAGTCTTGCTAATCTTTGATTCCCAAAAGCTGTCAACATTTTAAGAGCTAGGTGTAATTATTAATAATGTAAGATCCTTGTTCTTAAAACACAGTAGTAACTGTATGGCTAGTTCCTTAATTTCTCCACAGACGCAATTCTTTTTATCGTTTCTTGTTTCTAGCTCCATAGTAGGCACACAATCATTTTGTTGTAATTACTCTGACTCCCAGTTACATCTCTTGGAGAACTCAGATAGAATCACAGACTTGCATATTGAGACAGTCTCCTATTCTACAGAACTCCAAGTTCTACTCCAAGTGTTAGCATTGCCAGACCTAGCAAATAAAATGCTATTAAATATGAATTCCAGATAATTTGTAGCGTGTCTAGTACATGTACAGTGTATTTCTCATTCAATATATACTTCTATTAAAAAGTATTTATTTAAAATTCACATTTAAGTGAAGTGGCTATCTGGTATCTAGCAGACCTATGAGTAAACCCATTGCTTTCTGGGGAGGCAGTACGTACTCCTCCTGTAAGTGTTTTCTGTTGCATTTTGTTTTGTTTTTTGAATTGTTTCTGCACTGTCTATGGCTTCCTGTCTGGTGTATATCTTACAGCAGCCCAGTCACTCTACCTTCCGTCGATTTTCCATTCCTCACCTTTCCAAAGTTCCAGTTCCACTTCTGTTTTGATTTGACATCACAGCCTATCCCTCACACTGCAGGCCTGGTGGGCTTTCACCTCTTTACTGCCCAGAACAGTGCTAGGGGTTGGGGATAAACCAGTAAATTCCATATGTCGCATTGAGCTTCTATGGCAACTTCGAGGAAGCACACTGACATACTTCCTATATTATTTTCTCTTTGAAGCCAGTAAAAAAGATTCTCATGTTGTTTCTAATTCCACGAAGGCGGTTTTATTTCTGGTACATGTCAACATTTGCAGGGATTACAGAACCCTCAGGAGGGTGTACGTTCACTAGGCCAGGCAATAGTGGGGCAAGCATGAAATGCAGTGCTCTGTTCAGCACCTAGCGCCTACTTACCAGATGATGGAGGCGTGGATTTTCTGGAGCTAGGGACTATGTCACCCAAACTGGATGATGAATTTCCTCCTGATTTACTGGAGTAAAGCAAAAAGCAGATTAAATCTGACGCTTATTTCAGGTCCACGAACACGTGTATTGCTCAACACGGGAATTCATTACGTTTCCTTCAAACTGTAAGTTTATCCTCCTTAGAAGGAAGCAGATAGTAATGACACGATGGAGATTCCTGGAGGACTGGAAACAGTTAGGCGGTGATCTCTGTTCTCAAATGCAAACTTTGAGTTTCAGAAAGCTTGAGAGAAGGCCAGAGAACTCAGATAATTTCACGTCCCTTAAGTTCTCTGGCCAGACACAGAAGACTCAACAAAGATTTTCCTTTGCTTTTTATCTCAGAGGTCCTCTGAGACAATGTATACAGAACATTGAGGCGAATGCCCAGACTTAATGTTTCCAGCTTGTCTGTCTTAGCTTGACCATTTTAGTATATTAAGATTGAAAGTACTTAAACTTTCATGGCAAGTTGTAAAAGAAAAACAGAGTATATGATGACTTAATCAACAGATTGTACTCAGAACACACCTCAAGCACGTTGACATGGAAGACTGAACTTGGTTAATTTAGAAGTGATCGGAAGAACATACAGTTCAGAAGTACCAGATGATGAAGTCTGATAGACGTTTTCTTTTTGTGCTCGGCAACTTTGGAATTAATAGTAGAACGACAGCACTTAGGGTTTTTAACCTGTACATGAGAGGGCTAAATATTACTAAATGGCCCCTTCACATGTGATGATGGTAAGGAATATCTTAAAAGAATATCATGGAATTCAGGCAAGATGACTGTACTGTCTTTTCATTGTCACGGACAAACCAGGGTCTGGGTTAAAGAATTTTTTACAGTGTCTGAGCATCCAAGGGCAATAGTTACACTTAGGTAGATATTAGCATGAAAATATAAGTTCTGCTGTTCTGTAAAAGGCTGAATTTTATTGCTACTATTCTAGCAATTTAAAGCATAAAGCGAACAGATTACTATTTGAGAACTATTAAACAACTAACAGGAAGGCTGTATATCTTTTTAAGGCTCCTAAAAGACACATTTAATAAGGACAACAGGCAACAGGCGTTATAAAAAGTGACATTCATTTGTACAATTATGTAAGGACACCTCCTATCAAGACCAAAACGTTCTTTCTTTTTCTAAAGTAGTAAGTCTAATTTCAGTTCAAATATGGGTTTGTTTTTATATTGTTTTTGAGTTTTATGGTAAAAATATGTCCTGAGTTGTGTAAAATTGAGAAAGAATTTTGCTAATAGTAAAAAATGTTCAGGATAAAGATTTGCCCTTGACTTTTTTTTTTGGTATTGGGGATCAAACTCGGGTCCTTGTGCTTGTGAGGCAGGCGGTGGAAACACTGAGCTAAATCCCTGGCCCTGTCCTTGACTTTAATTCTATAAAAATGCCAGATGCTTAAATGTTTCCCAATTGTATTTCCTTTGATTCCTGTCAGATTTTATGATAGATCTACCAGAAGTTCAAAACACTGCCAGACATTATATACTGAAAAAAATTTTTTTTCCATGTTAAGAGACATGTAAAAACTTGTGAAAACAGCTAGAAGTATTTTTACATACTTGCACAAAAGCTTGCGTTAAAAAAAAAACCAAATAAAATCAAGAAAATCAAAGTAAGTTAGGAGTTCTTATGACCTTGACAACTATAAAATGCTTATTAATAAGAAAAGCCAAACCATAAAGCATATTCTATTTCATTCTTGTTGACACTTGAAAAAGAAAATCCCTAGCATGAGATACAAGCCATAGCAAACACAAAAACTTCGCTATTCTCATTAAAGAAAAATCTTGCCTATATCTCATTCTTTCATAGAGGGAGAAGCACACCACTCCCTTGAACTTGTCTGCATGGAGTTTACTCCCCCCGCCCAGTACCAGGGATTGAACTCAGGTCCTTGTGCTTTTGAGGCAGACACTGGAACCACTGAGCTAAATCCCTGGCCCAGGTTCACTTGAAAATTCACTACCAGTAAGAGTGGCCCTCCTAGTGCATCTTTCAGTGAAAGGTAAACAACCTTGGTCCTAGCCTATTATTTACCTCATTTAATTGCTATCTGCAAAGGGCACTGTAACTGTCATACTTCGTCTAAGTCTCCAAGGGTTTAACTTGGAGAAAAATCGAGTCTCTTGGGTGAAAATAAAACCACCAGATGACAAAAACTGCTATTTGCCAGTGATGTCTAAAACTGTCATCTCTAAAATGTCTCCCTGCCAGGCCAGGCGACTATGGACACAGTAGTTAGTCACCACAGCCGCTCAGTGCCAGAGGACTTTGAGCAAATGATGAGAACCATAGAATTTCCTCTGCACTGGAACTGCAATTTAATATTCTATGACCTTAGCTGTTTTCACTAATGATCATAATTAATCTGATTCCCTCCCAAATGGGATGGAAATCAGATATGGAGATGAAGTTTTAAAATTGTAGGCATTGTGATGCTGTCAACGACCCCATCAGCAGTCCACTTTTAAACATATAATAAAGATGGTAGAGCAGAGCCAATGGCAGATGAAGAATGAAGGTTGGTGGGTTGTGAACATTTATACGAACTCTTGACATTTTTCTCATACCTGGAGTAGAATTTCCCTTGCTTGGCCCTCTGTTCATGCTGTAGCCTCATGTTTTCTAGTTTGACTGGGCTTGGAATGAATCCGATTTCACAGCCTTCTTTAACCAGTCGGCCTATCCACCAGTCATTATTAAATTTCTAAACCGAAAATGAAACGCATTAAAGTCAGTGCACAGAAGTTCACATCTTTGAAACATTTTTGTTTCTTTCACATTACGTATTTTCACTGGAGAGAAGTGTGTGGCGATTGCCATGAGCTATGCCTCACATATTATAACTCAGAGACCCCCCGGGTTTGCGGGTTTTATCTATGACAGGAAATACGTTTGGGCGCCCAGCAGTCCATGGAAAGCTTTGTGCTTCCCTCTTTGTCTTCATGTTGCCTTGAGGACCAGGCTGAATTCTGCCCCCAAGAGGAGAAGCAGCGCTCTCTAGAAGAGACTGTTAGGAGCTGAAGTTTTACCAGAGGTCTTTCCCCTGTATAATCAGATTAATTTCACTCGAAGTAGTAAGCGTGAGAGAAACCCTGCAATGTGCCTGAAAATATTTTGTGTCACAACAAAACTTGCCTTTGTGGCTTTTATGAATATGAAAGATAAAGTTCAATGATGATTTCTATTTAAGTGGATGTTGACAATTTCTCTCTTGCTGGTGTAATATTTATCTTGAATCTGTATGGTTTGATTTCATTTTCTTCAGTTGAGTAAGTCTGTTCCTGAACACTGCAAAGAACACGCACTGTTCTCTTTCTGTGATAGAAAGAGATCCTCCAGTAAGAATCAGCCATCGAGAGCCCTTGTATCTTAACTTATTTTTATAAAGCAACATGTGTGACACATCATGTCCCTTCTGAAAGTGTTTTTGTCTCTTGGCTCTCTAGCCAGTATTTAAATTCTTCCTAAAAGTTACTGTGATACCGTAGTAGGCTCTTTTCATTGGCAGCATCGCTTGCTTTATTTATAGCCTCTCGTGCACTGCCCAGTTAAATTTACACATTGTTCCCTGTGCCATACCATCCCCCAAGGTACTGCAGTTATAAATCCCTCCACACAGAACACTGTTCAGGGGGAATTTCTGTCACTCGATACAGGGCACCACACAGCAGACATTTGGCACATACTGACCACAAACAAAAATTAAGGGAGAACTTTTCCAACTTACAGATTGTGTCACTGTTAACTGAAAGGAAGAGAATTATGGCATGGGGAAAAAGGAATCTTTCTGATAGCCATTTCTTGCTTCATTGGCTCCAGTTACTACCATTCTATCTTTAATTGGAGAAATGCAGCATTTGAGGAGGAAAAAAGGGCACCGGTAGTCAGAGTCTAGACATCGTCAACAGAAGAGTCATGAATGCTACATTTTCCTAAAACCCTCCCCAGGTGGCTAAACTTCAGACATCAGGAAAAACTACACACAGTCAAGGTTAAACAGGAAAAGAAAAAGTTCAGGTTAAGCATAAAAAAGGATCATCTGCTCTAATAGTTCCCAATTTCTGGGCCACTGAGCCCAAGGGAGCCCTGAAGTTATTGCCGGAAGCCAATGAGTCCTTTCTACTTTAAGATGTGTATTTATATCAGAAAAGGTTGAGAGCCACTGATGAAGTGCATGTGTCACACAACTGCAGCTATCCGTGATGGTATTTCACAGCAGCAAGAAATAAGAAATGTTTCAAGGTGAAAAATCCCACTGAGGGAAATGGAGGTTACTGTCCTTACTTCCTTAACGTGCAGAAAATCTTTTGCTTCGAATGAGATGGCCATGCCTGGCACCGGAACGTCATCTTCGTGGGCTGCACTATAGCTGACATTTGTCCGAACTGCAAAGGCAACGGGTTTTGTCTACAGAGGAAAAGCGGGGGGAGAAAAAAGAAATAAGAAAAGAAACAACAATCTCCTTCCGTCCTCCCTGCTCCAATACAAAGATACATGGAAAAACTGTTGTAATCATTGTTTTTTTCCACACTGGTTCTTTATCACAAAACAGCTTGTTAGTATTCACAGTGCATAAAACAGCTCTCAGCTACATGCCACCCATTTCCGAACTAGAAAAAGACCATTGTTCTCTTTGAAAGCACGACAAGTAATAAAGGTGAAGATGAACTGCTGAATTATGTGTTTACAGCAGAACAGCTTGTAGCCACCAGAAATCAGGAAACACAAACATGAATAAATGCCCAGTTTTTTTTTCATTAGGTAGAAAAGACATAGAAACTACCTCCCTACCTTACTCATACCTCTAATTTTAATTAGTAATTAATGATATCATCCTTAAAGGCACATTGCATTGGATGAGGGGAAAAAAAATGAAAGAATACATTCAAGATTAGCAACTGTTACTCATGGCTGCAAGGAATTATGAAAGCAATGACCTTTTCCTCTATTATTTTTCCTCCTTGATTCATTAAGCTGTGAGTATCCTTTGATCCTTTGAAATTTTGCACAAAAACATCTGTCCTCTATTGGCAATACTGTGTATACCCAAAAGATGAAATAAAAAAAAATAAATGAGCTCAGAAATGGCGAGAAGAGAAACTGTTCCAATTGGCGTCTGTGTGGTACATTAGGGGCCAGTGCATTTCTTGTGAGCAGTTTCTCCATCATCAGTGAGCTCCTCATTTGGACCCAGGGGGAGGACGGAGAGCTGGAAGAGAAGAGTCCTTTTCATTTACCAACCATCCGGAGTTCAACTGTTCCCCTTGCTGTGTCCAAGTGGAGACTGAGCTAAGGACACGCAGGTTCCTCCAGTCCACCCCCAGTTGGCAGATCGGTAAGGGAAGACCAAGTTCTGCACGAAGGCATGGTGGACAGGAAGTGTCTCTCACTATGAAAACCCGTTTTGTTTTTTTGTGGCACTGGGGATCGAACTTGGGTCCTTGTGCTTGCGAGGCAGGCAGCAGAACCACTGCGCTGAATCCCCAGCCAAAAACCAGTTTTGGTATTCGTCACAATTTGAATGAGGTAAAGGGTACTGGCTCCTTACATGGAAATTATAACTGTTCACACAGGCACACACGGGTGTTGCATGTATGTATGGCTACTACACATTTCTGTATTATATTACATGGAACACACACAGAGCTCGAGGTTTTACCACTGGAAATCCTTGATGTTATTTCCATATTTTCCTTGGTATTTTCTTAAATATATATAAAATTTTCCCCAGAACTGCAATCAAAACATATTGACTTTTATCCACTTTTTAAAGTAGTAGTTTTCATATGCTACATTTTGCTAAAATACATACTACACCCACACCCGCACACCCACACACACATATATATATTTTGAGACAGGGTCTTTCTATGTTTTCCAGGTTGGCCTTGAACTCATATATATTCTCCTGCCTCACCACCTCAGTCCGGGGATTATAGGTTTGCACCACCACACTCCCTTTATTTTCTCATCGATTTGGGCCCAGCGCAAATCACTTCCTTTTTGCTGCCACTCTTCAGACTAGTTCGCCAGGCTTAATACCCTCCGTGGGATCCAGGTGAAATCACTGTCGGAGCCAAGGTATTTTCCTGCAATACATTCTTTCATATGCTCTAGGATATGAGAAGATGGAAAACTTTTCCAACATTCATTTTGTTTACAGTGTTCTAAGTTTGATTTTCTTGGATAGCACAACAAAGCCTCAGAGACGGAGGCTTTAAAAAAAAAACTAATGTTAAAAAGAAAACGACTTGAAGTTCCAAAGGAACGTTCCTTGAAGTATCATTAGATGGTTATCGCACTAAACCATGGTTTATCCAGTGAACCCGCTTCAGGCTGATAGTCTTAATTCTGGCCTCATCTCAGTACAATCAAAGGCCACACAGCACCTCTTTGTTCTTACCATGCAGAAGTCCTGGTCCTGTCCTTGCCGGGAAAGGCACGTGTGTTCTGGAAGCCTGTGAGAGTTTTACGGTTTTCCAGCACTGTGGCCCTGGGACATGGTCTGGCGCCATCACAAATACTTGGGACTCTGATTTTTGTGGCATGAATGAACCCCACCCCCTTGTCTCTTCCAGGACACTGGCTGTTGCCAAGTTGTACTTCAATCTACACTAGGATACAGAATTGGGTCCTAAATTCCACTTTCATTCAACCCCTTTCACGCCCAAAGGGCTTGATTCCCAGGCCAGTGTCACACCTTGAACCTGCTTTTGCTGTCTGCTTCTACCTGGATTTCTGGCCGACTTGTTTTGCAGCTGTGGAGGACTAGGCACATAGGTAGAAGCACAATTTTCTGCCAATGTTTTTTTTTGCTTTTCATGGTCCTGTGCCAAGGTAAAAGGAAAACCACTCCTTTTCTGGCTTCCTTCTTTCCATCCTATCCGCCTATCCTGCATAGCTTTAGAAGTGCCTGGTAAATCCTTTGTGCTCTCTCACCCTCTTTTTGTTACAGAGAATGAAAAGTCTGCTACACATTAGCTTGCGGAGTCAACCTGAACTGGTGATCAGGATTAATCAGTAAGTACCAGTTACTGGAGAATAGCAGCTCATTATCTAGGCAATAAAGTTAAAGTGTTTTAAAAGCACCAAGGCTGGGGGCCAGGGTTTTAGCTCAGGGGTTCGCTGCCTGTCTCATAAGCGCAAGTTCTCAAGTTTGATCCCTGGTACCAAAACAAAACAAAACAAAACAAACAAAACAAAACACCAAGGCTGTGCCTTGTATACTACAGTACCTTCAGTCTGCTTCCATTAATGTGTCTGAGAAGAGAATAAGTACATAATACAGACATGAAGATATTTTTATTCCGCTTTTCCAGGCTCCTCTTCCCCTTGAATATGATTTACAAAAGCTGCGCCTTTAGGAATATCCGCCAAGTGACAAGCAGTGTGCTGGCTTTTAAGCATAGATTGTTGTATTTAATTTAATCCCCACAGCAACTATTTTTCCCAGATAAGGAAACCGAGGTTCAAAAAAGTTCTCCAGGCTGTAAGCAATGGAGGGGATATTTAAATACAACATCTCACTCCATAACTGGAGGTCTTTCAGCACAAGGCTTTTTTTTTTGGCTGTCCTATGGACTAAACCCAGGCCCTCATGCATGCTAAACAAATGCTCTCCACCCTCCTCAGCAGCTTTTTTTTTTTTTTTTTCTTCCTGAGACAGAGTCTTACTAAATTGCTCAGGCTGGCTTTAATCTTGGCATCTTCATGCCTCAGCCGCCCTTTTAGCTAGGATTAGATAGATCTACCAGCTAGACTGCCTTTCACTTAAAGAGAGCCATCAGTGGTGGCTTTAGAGCATTTTTATGCTTGTATGAAATTTTGAAGACCCAAAAGTTGTATGTTACCAAAATGCTAAAAAACAACTGGGTTGGGGGAAAAAAAATGAGGCCCGAGTCTGCCTTGTCGACTCACACTAACAGAAGAATTTCACCTGTTGGAACTATAGGTATTCATTTTAAAGGTGACATACTTTAATCAATTTGATGTCCAATAAATCAATTGCAATGCCAGTTATGGTCTTTATTTGGCTATACATTTTCTTTCTTTGGACCTCACTTTTATAAGCAATTGCTTTATTTCAAGCAATGAGAATGGAAATATTAAAATAGACATGGCTTTGGCCAGGCATGGTGGCACACGCCTGTCATCCCAGCACCCTGGAGGCTGAGGCAGGAGGATTGCTGTGAGTTCCAGGCCAGCCTGGGCTACACAGTGAACTCAAGGATAGTCTGAACTACAGAGCGAGACCCTGTCTCAAAAGCTCCTCAAAGTGCCCTGCCACAGGGACATCTTGTGAAAGGACACAGCTACCTGAGTTCTGAAAGCACCGCACCCTGTGGACTGCTGAGAGCAAAATGTTTCATGGATTAACTTTAAGGATTTCTCTCCCAGCCTTAAATCTGCTAACATAGCTTCATTCTGGAAGCGCCTTACTCTTTGCAAAATTCATTCTGTAGGTATCCCTCCCCAGACAGCCCTGGACCCATCAGCAGCTCAGTCCTTTGCAGGGCTCCACTGTAATTGCTCCCATAGTCTTGTCTATTTGTTTGCTTGTTTTTTAAACTCAGTTTAGATTTTCTAGGGTGGAGACTTTCTGACAGACGATCACGATCCCACTTAGTTATAACTAGAGCCGCTCAGCCACCTTGAAAATGCTGCAGGTCCGTACCGCCTGTGTTCACCACTTTCCTCCTCACCTGGATTCCTTCGTTAGCACTTCTGCCTCCAACATGAATCTGCTGATTCAGGCCCTCTCGCCCCTACTCTGCCATCCTTAATCATAGCGCCATATGCTCTACTCTGCCCAGAGACAGATGTCTAGACCCCGCCCTCAGCAGATGCACACGTGACAGAGCCAGCCTGGCAGCCTGGGAGGGCTTGTGTGAACAGCTCTGTGGCCACAGGACTTGTAAAACCCAAGGGAAGCTCAGTGAGCTACTGAGAGTCCTGGTCCCTGGAGCCTGCCAGGGTTTTTTT